AGTGCCACAGCTCTCTCAAAGCCATCCTCTTTAACACTGACCTAATCCTTAATCCTCACCCCTGATGTCCTCAGCGTGTCTCACCCATGAACACAGCCCCTTCGAGCTGTGTTCCCTTCTGTTCTCTCCAGCCAGTCTTTCTAGTTTCACAGCCTCTTCCAGGCTGCAGGCTTCTTTTTTTTTTTCTTTGTGTCATCCAGGAAACACACCCACCTCTCTTGCCCCAGCCTCATATTCTGCCTCGTTCAGAGATTCTGTAGTTTGTGTGAAGGAATTTCAAGCAATGCAAACTAAGCAAATTTTTAAAAAAATCATAGAAATTAGAGATGGGAAAATCTTTTTAGCTCATCCAGTCCATCATCTCATTCCAGCCTAGCCCAGTTCCTGCAAGATTCTTACCTACAATACGTTTTCCAGTGCATTATCCAGTCTGGCATCCTTTACTTCCCATGAGAAAGTGTTCCACAGAGGATTGCTTTTCAGTGTTTGGAAGAGGTTTCTGAAGTTTTCTTTCCATTCTGCCTGACCTAATTTCTTTAAGTTCTGCCTGTGGTAACATGCTAGCCAAATGTTCTCCTTCCTTCATGCTTACCTTGTTCAGGTGATGGCAAATAATTCTTGTTCAGTCAAGCTGTTTAGCCACAATGCTTAATACTTAGTTGTAAAGCTCAACAATTATAGTCCTTGGCTACCTGGGAAAGACTAATGTTGAGGTTAACATGTTAATGGGTGCACAGAACATAGAAGACAGTGCTAGTAGGGTTGCCTCTTTGTTATAACAGTCATTTGACGCATTCCATCACAAGGTCTGGCTTTGGTTGCTTTTGCCTTTGCCAAACTTGGAGCCAACATCTTCCAGCTCATGTCTGCTTCAGTAGTTTTATTGGGTTCTTTTTGGGTTTGTTTTTAATTTCAGTCAAAACCACTTAGCTATTTCTGAGAACAAGGCTGAAAGGGAATATTCTGTTTCATACACATTTTAAAAAAAATTTTAATTACTTTTTCTTTAAAAAAAAATCCAACAAACCACCTTTTGAATAATGTCTTGCTTTAAAATAAACCACATTTTTTTCTGTCAGGAACACATTTTTTGTCATCTCTGACAAAGTCCCACCCAAAGTTGGCTAAATAATGAACTTTTGAGTTATTGCAGCTTGAGCCTGCTCAGAAAAAATAACGGGGGCTAGAAGGACAAGCTTTTATCTTATTTTTTTTTTACTGTAGGTCTGATGGAAATAACAGCACATGATTTAAGACCCAGATTACAATGTACTTGCACAAAGGCCCCTGACTGTGGCTGCAGGGTCACCTTGTTCCGGCCTCCCCTGGCCCGGGTTGCTGTCACTGCTGATGGACCCCTCCTGCCCATGGCCAGGGTCACCCTTGGGAACTGACATCCTCGCTCCATGCATGGAACTGGGCTTGCCCAGGCATGCGGAAACCTGGCTGTGAGGAAACAGGGAGGTACAGAGACAAGAGGAGGAGAGAGAAAAGAAAAAAAACCCAAACCACACCTGAAAAAAAGCCAACCAAAGAAATACAGCAGAAGAGAGGCAGACACCCATTTTCTCTGCTAGCTGTCTCCAAAATATTTTGTGTTTGTGTTTTTACCAACCTGGGCACTCCTTTCCCTCAGGACATGTAGGGAAACCTGGGTGCCCTGGAACTCCCTGGCTATGACACACACATGCTGCATCGATCCCACACCCAGGGCAGCAACACCATCTACTCTCTGCATTGCCTACTCCCACTGGGCGTCCAAGGCATGTGGCCAGGGCCCCAGACTTGTGTCACTGCTGTTCTGTCCTGACCTGTCTCCTCCCAGGGGCACAGGTAGCTTCGGCATCCTGCCCACCACAGCGTCGAAGGGCATGGGATTCATGAGCACTGGAGATGGCACTCGATAGCAGGACTGTCTGTGAAGCCACAGCTCCAAAATGCCATGAAGGAATTGAAAGGAATCCAAAATCTTCATTAAATCTGAGAAAAAGAGGAGATGCCCTCAATCCTGAATAATCACCAGGACATCCAGAAATATAAAAGGTGCAATTGTAATATCTAGCACCGTGGTTTTCAAAGCACCCACTGTAACAAAACCCCTCTGCTCAGCACTGTAAGGAAAAGTGGTTTCATTATTCCCTTTGGACAGCGTATTAGACTTTGACTCCTCTGATGTGTTTGCTACCATCTCTGCCACATCAGGGAAGCTTGTGTGCCCCATCAGAAACTTGCTTGTGCCTTCTAGCCACTCTGCTTGCTGCATCTCTTGCCTTGCTGTCTCTTTATTCATTAGTCCTTCCCCTCCCAGTTTTCTCTCCCCTCTTATTTTTCGCTTCCCAAAGCAAGGAGTTTTTAATAGCTAAAGAACGAAAGCACCTCCCACGTCTCGCCTCAAAAAAGCTAACTCTCTGTCTTACTCACTCTTTTAGATTTCCAAACCTCTCTTGCTAGCTTAGAGGCTTCCTTTGAGGCACTGGTTCCTCAAATACTAGCACGTGAGTATAACTTTAGTAAACCATGTAGTTCCAATGGCCTTGAGAGGACAATCCATGTGAATAAATAAATCAGCTGTGGAATGGAGACCATGGCCTTTAGCAAAGATGGAAAAGTTTTCTGTTCTATATTGTGATTTGATCAGAAAAAAGTTATTACAAGGGACTTCAATCCAGGATGGAGTAGTAACTCCCTTGAAGAAAATTTTAACAGTAGGCTTGAAATTCTTCAGGGTGCTTAGGTCATACTGATGCAGATGGATTGACTAGATAATCTTTGGAGACTTCCCCTAACTCTGCTTATTCTGATTCACCATGGTGAAATGGAGGAAAAGGTAAATTGAAGTAAAGAACAATTGCTTGGCTTTCTCGTTTCCATGTGTGAAACTAAAGTGCAGTGTGGTTCAACTGTGTTGTTGTATTTTTTTTTTTTTGCTTTAAAACATACAAAACATTTCTTTGACTGCAAGATCACCTGCATATGTGATGTACTGCTTGCACAGATTAATTTTAGATCCTTGAATTTTGTCATTATAAAAACAGAATGTCTCTCACTGTCTTTGCGCTGATTCCAACATCAACAAGGATTAGCTGTGCTGTAGATTTGTATCTGTGGGAATGACTACAAACACCCCACTTTATAATGTATGGAAACAAGAACTATTTTTGAAGTATCAGTCCAGCTACGGCAATGCGGAGTTCAGCACAATTTACTCCATTTCTGGGCTGAGGTTTGTATCCTGCGTTGTGCTCCATTTTGCTGGAGTGAAATTCCTAGCAAGACCCAATTAAAATAAGCACTGAATGTTTACTCCCCATCACTGCCACTGCTTTGATTGCAGTGTAAACGCACCACTAATGACTTGGCCGATGGGAGGGGAAAATTATGTGTCAGAGCCAAGTACAGAACCAGGAATTTGGGCCATCAGCCAGCTGGTTAAATCACACTGAGTGCCTGTAATGAAATGCATTGATTTGTGACTCTTACAATAATGTTTTTAGGAAATCATTTCAGTGGCTATTTATTTGTATGTTGGAGCAGCCTGATGAGGTTGGAAAACTAAAGGAGACACTGTGCTTATAGGCCAAGAACAAAATTTAAAAATTAGGTTAATTAACCACTGGAATAACTTTTCTAAGGATGTGATGGGTTCTCCATCATATTCTGATACACAGTCAATACCACTTAGTTGTATAAAATACATGCTGTAGCTCCAGTAGGAGTTCTGTGTACCACTAGAAATGATTATCCAAAGTTCTGTGGGTTCTGTCACCCCTGAGATGAGACAATGTTGTTATAATGGTTACTCTTGATGATAAAAATTCTGTGAGCCTGTGATAGTCATTGAGTCTGGGTGTTAGTGATTCTGTATAGTAAAAGACTGAGATCCCGTAAGTGGTAGATTTTAACTAGAAACAATTTTCACAAACAGGACTACCAAATGACAAAGATGCATTCTGCAGAAGTGGACACCCTTCCAATCCTGCGGCTGATATAATGTGCAGTGATGATTTAGCGAGCTCAGAAGGAATTAAACCATCAATAAAATGACAGACTTGGTACATTTCAAAGCATCTGGTCAGATCTCATGGAATTTCTTGGCTGCTACCTGTTCAGTCAGAGAGAAAGAAATAGTGGGGAGAGTCCATAATCACCTTGTGGTATTTTCACTGGGTGCCTCAGAAGAGCAGATGAGGATAGTGAGCAGTGGATAAGGTAAGTGGTTATCTACTTGGGGGTTTGTGTGGACCCTTTTCAGGGCTGGTTCCTCTTTAATGTCCTTACAGATCTATGTAGAAATATGTGGGCTTTCTTGTCTGCTTACAGTTTATGGTTAGCTAAATTACATAAATAACTATTTTTTCTGTGTGCTGAGATGAACACATCCGAGAGATGCCAGAGTTTAAGTACTCTGTGAAAAGCAATCCCCTAGCCTTATATATAATATATAGTCTTATAATTCTTATTCAGAAATTGAAACACCTGGAATCTCTACTGAGACCTCAAAGTCTGTGTTGCTGCGTCTGATATTTTTTTTCTTTTCATGTCTGCTTTCTGTGTGGTTTTTGAATGGTTGATAACCATGAAGATTAGGAAAAAAAAATCCAGCCAAGTAAGTCTTGTTTTAAGAAAAAAAAAGTAGAAGAAAAATAGAAAGTAGTTGGGTCTGAATTCATGGACTTGTTTGTCCATCTTTAAGATGGATTTACTTATTCCAATTCAATCTTTATTTCTGTTCTGCCACAGTCTTGATGTCTAGCAATGTATGCTGTTCATATTTAAAACGGAATTCACCTTTAAATGTGCTTAGACTAGAAAAAATATGCCTGTTGAGGTCATTTTTAGAGCAAGAGTTAATGCATCATGCAAACAGCTAAATAAAGGTTACAATCTGAGTGGAATTATTCAGAGCTCAGGGAGAAATCTGGCATTTGCAGTCTGTCACTGGGTTTGAGAAGTCTGGCTCTCTCCAGTCACTGTCACTCAGGAGACATCCTGCTTTCTGTGTGGTAGTGAGGGAGGGGACTGCAGTACTGAATGATCTTCCTGTAAAACCAGCAAAAACAGGAGCAGTGGGAAGTGTCATGTGTGAGGAATGTGTGGAATGAGGGGTGAGTATTAGCCCATCTTTGTCCAGTTTTCACAGAGAGACTTTATGGGCGTAACTAGTCACTCTTCCTCCTCTCTTTTCCTCTTCAGGTCAGCTGAAGAGCCAATGTCAGGACAGCATATGATCCCTGATATCCCTGGAGGATTGCTGCATGGGGGGCTATGAAGAGCCGTGTGCCTCTTGAGACCTGCCAGTTAAGTATTGCAACTTTTGGGCCTTATCTGGTAAGGTCTTCTTGCCCTTCTTTTCCACCAACATCCCTGGGAGATGAGTGTATCACTTTGGGACAGGATACACCCAAAGCCAGGGTGTAGATAGTGATAGAGCCAGAATAAAAATGCATCACTTGTAAGCGCCTGGGCTTTTTTTAGAGTTGGCAATCGCCACAGAGGTGTTGTGCTAAGCTTATGCTCTGCATTTTGTTTCCTTATTTTGTTTCTTTAAGCCAAGGGCTTGGCTGATTGCACAGGAAGTCAACTGCTATGGGCATTCACTTCAATGGGCGAATTTTAAACAAGTCACCAGGGACTGGCTGCTGCTGAGTTCAAAGAGAAAGAGACATCCAAAAACTCTAGCCAAGCCAAGTTATGGTGGGAAATATCAGATACAAAGAGGAGAAAACTGTAACGTACACAAGGGGGTGAAAGACAGATACAGCTTGATTTTCCTGTCCATAAGTGGTCAGATTAGAGTGAGGTTTGAATAGACATTTTAAAAAGAATCAACCAAAATGCAAACCAAACCCAAACAAAACCCCCATAATTTTGCTAAGGGAGGTTTGCTAAAGGAAGATTGTTGAACATTAGGAAATATGTTCTGGTGTTGGTGTTCTATGAGCTGTGTGCAATGATCTGGGGAAAGTTAATATGGTATTTGACAAAATATTGGGAAAAGTATTAGAAAGAATAGTTCCATGCAGGGCAGAAGGTGGAGCAGATGACCTGTTAAGCTCTTGCATTCATTCCTCTTTTTTTTGCTTTCCTCAGTGATTTCAAGTATTCCCAGGCTCAGATAACTCCAAGAGAAGGACCCACCTTCCATATCACAGGCAAGGTAAAGAGTTTGTGTTTATAAAAATGTAAAAAGAAAAGGTGGGGAGGAAATTTCAAGGGAAGGAATAGAAGTCTAAACTTAGGTGTTGCTTCCCCCCATTACACGCGTGAGCAGTAGCGACTCACAAAAAGAAGACCAGAGAAAGACTGCCATCTTCTGGAAGGATAAATATCTGCCATTGTTCAGAATACTAAATCTGCTATATGCATATTTTGAAACCATAGTATATTTCCGATAAATTTATTTACCTGCCTGAATTCTTATCCACATAAAACTAACTCAGTCTCATTTCATCAGTATATATAACATGATTCCAGCTTTAGAAACTGACATAGACTCCTGGGTTTTAATTATATTTTCATCAAGCTTAAAATAACGAAGGTGTTAACATTAAGGATTATCAGTAGAGAGCCGGACTTTATTTATTCTTGAGCCTGTAAACCAGGCTTTTTTTTTACTAAGCATTTAGAAGTCAAACTTAAGGTGCCCAGATGCAGACTGAACAATTAAAGAAAAAAAAAATGCACTCTCCTTTTAAACAGCATCAGCTGTTATCCTACCTACTTCAATAAACTAAGTACATCTGTTTCAACAGAACCTTTTATTAATCAAAAACCTGCAGGCAGTCCACGGAGCACAGAGACATTTAGCATTGCTTTCAGTTAGTCCGTCTTAGAAATGATTATCTGAATTAGAGGAGTTTATGCAGTGACTGGGATTACACTAACCACAGAGCTACTGCCCGCTCTGCTCAGGGCAGGAAGGGTCAGGAGCCTGGGATAGCACAGCCCACATACTGGATCACGAACATGTGGGCTCCGTCTGCTGTCTATGCTGTGGGGCTGTCACAGACTGTGCTGTCACCCAGAACTATTCCTACACTTGCCTCTAGCCTCTGAGCTCTGGTGTTGGAAGTGGGGCGATGAGAGCAGATGGACCACTGGTTTCCTCTGTCCCAACAGAGCACCATGGGAGGCATGCAGGGAATCTGCCTTGCTCCCTCCCAGTGATGGTGGTAGTCTCACCCACTTAGCGCTGGGCAAAGCCTTTGTGGGGAAGACAGGATGTGTACCTTTGGGATGCTCCTCTCCCTTGCAGTTTGAGTCAATGCAGCTCTGCTCCATGCCCTCTAGTGACAGTGCATTCTCATGAGAGGTGATGTTTTTCTCACTTTTCACAGTTTTGATACCAAACAAGAGGTATCAACACCTTCAGGTACTGTGGGAGCCTTTAAAACTTCAGGACAAGAGCTCAGAGGGGACTTTGGATGAGTGTGAATCTCTCCTTATTAGGTTCCCAAATTCATCCAATGTTAACCTGTTGGGAGCTAGGATTCCCAGTGAACTTCACATTTGGGTAAAACTGTGATTACAAGGGACACAGACAGTCTACCTCATTCTCCCATCCTTTGAGCACTGGACTTGACTTGTCACTGTTTCACAACACCTTTGTGGTGGTGAAGCCATGGTGCCAGTCTGCCACTCAGCAGCTCTTCTGCTAAGGGGCTCCTTTTGGCATCAGAATTTCCAGTGCCTATGGGGAGAGCGGCATTGGCATCTCTTCAGTGACTGAAACCCTCAGTCCTCAGAGCAGATGGAGTTGCATAAACTTCCTTCTCCTCATTTTTATCTTCTCCCCTTTCTGCAACTGCCAGGTCTGGCCAGGAAGATATCACAGGGATGGGAGGCTTGCAGACTTTGCCATTCTTCTGAGACAGGAGTGACCTGATGACAAGGCTGCTGTGGGTTTCCAAGCTAAGGTCACTTATTCCCTGAAGCCAAAGATCTGCCAGCTCACTCCATACAAGCTCCCAAACAGCCACCGCATGGGGATGTCTGGAATATTTCTGTGTTTTAAAGAAACTTTCTACTCAGTCAGTGCGGGTCACTGTTCTCCACTTAATCCCAACCCACAGCATCAATCGCCTCCCATATAATCTCCCAGAACAGCTGTGCTGTGATTGCATTGTGGATTACAAAATGACCATTTTCCACAAAACAGCTGCTGATCAGAGGGATAGCATTTAATAATCACTGAGGAAGCAAGGGAGGAGGGGACAAGACAAAAGAGAAAGGGGTTTTGCAGCAATTGGGTTTTTTGGAGGATGTAGAGATGAGCAAAACAGCAGACAAAGCGTGAGTCCCATTTCTATACTGCTCATCAACAAATTAACAGGACTTCGAAGACTTGCTGCTAAGGTAAATTCAGCTCTATTTCCTTTTGGGTCTATCTAGATATTAATAGTCAGTTATTGTCAGTGAGTGCTTAGCTTTTGTGGAGGGAAGCTTTTCTGACAATGTTTTCAGGAAGTAGTTCAGATTTGCTTCTCATTCCCTATGTCCTCTGCATTCTTGATCCACTTCCTTCTTCTGACTTATTTGTTTCTTGTATTTTTTTTTCTCTTTTCCTTAACATTTTTCTTGAAATTATGTGGCCTTTCAACTACTGTCACAAATCAACTGGAGAGAACATTTTTCCCACTATTGACGATTTAAATTAGAAAGATGATTTTTGTCAATATTGTGAGTGGATTTTTTTTTTAAATAAAAGCATAAACAGCGCAAAACCTCATGACAGAAATTCTTATATTAAAGCATTGATGAAAATCTGAAAAACTTTGTGTGCTGAAGGTTTCTATTTTCAGGTGGAAAATCATGTTTTTGAGGAGAACAATTTTATCTATAATTTCCTTTTCAGTCATAAGCCAAATTTTCCACTGAAAAAAACTTTCAGTGAGAAATTTGCCACGAACCTTAGCCAAAAACTGTTCCTAGTAGGTATCTGCTCTGCAAAAATGGTGATATCCAACATGCTTTCAGATCACAGAAGTCATTAGCTATGGAATCACTGAGATGTTACCATCTCCAGGGTGCAGCTTTTCCATTGCTGCAAGAAAGAAATGCCCTGGTGAAGAGACAAAAGAAGCCAGAGCATAAAACAACATAGGAAATTTTCAGGAGCTGAGTATTTTCTTGCTTTCAGTGAGGCTGTTCTGGGTCAGGTACTGCTTTCTCAGTGTGATGACACGCTAATGAAGTCCTGCTTTTCAAGAGGAGCTTCAGCACCATCTTTATTGACCACATTTCCAAGCTTGCTGGTTAGCAGAAAATACGGTTCTAACTGCACCACTTTTAGCTGTGATGCAGTCACAAACAATGCAAAGCTTGCTCTTGTATTGTTTATTTATAATGGTGTCCACAGAATACTGGGTCTTTCTCACACGTTCGACGTTGGGTGAGTCAGCCGGAGTTAAGTGAAGAGGACCAGCAGCAGGCAATGTCTGTACAAACTGAATCTATTCATGGACAAATAGATTTTGAGTCATAAATAGGAAAGAGTGGGAGTATCTGGATGAAGCTGTGCCAAACATAGGGAGTGCCATGTGGGAAGAGACATGCGTTGATTACATGAAAGTTGATGTGTAGGTAGATGATATCTAATTAATCCATGGAGTGATAGGTTGGGGTTCTTAGAAGTCAGTGAAGGGTTTCGCAAGAATACTAAGGTCTTAAGCTTTCCTCTGAGTGGGAAAGTCCACATGACCCTGGTTCCCAAACTGCATTCTGAATTACTTTTAACAATGAGATGAAACTGGGAAGAATGTTTGTGGTAATGGTTGCTCTTATAAAAAAACCCCAAACTTTGGCACTTTGTGTGAGAGCAGAGACCCTGTCATCCCACCACCCTACCAGATTTCTGATGTGCTGGTCAGGGCTCAGGTAGGAGGTATTGCTCTGGGGTTTGATCTTGAGCTGCCAGATTTGGATAGCTGGGTGTCTCCTCTGAGCCACTGCTTTCATGTGTGTCCTACGACCCTCAGCAATACGGGAACATTTTCATGCCTTTCCCCACTGTGAAATCACTACACTCTCTACCTCCATAGGGTCAGTAATTAACTGCTTGAAGAAGTGTTGGGACACTTGGCAGCAAGATTTCTCATTTATCTGGATAGAGCAACTCGTGGTGTTTGAGGAAGCTGGTTAACAGTTTTTTTCTGTCATCTCTGAGATGGAGTAAATGTGACGTTCTTTCATTTTGCTCATGTGCTCAGATACCTCAGATACCTCAATGCACTCAGCCCTGCTATGCTTGCTGGATTACCCTCTCTTACCCAGTACAGATATTCAGCATACTTTGAAATGGTCAAAGTTGACGTATTGATCCACTGCCCTGGCTTTCAAGAAATGGTTCTGCCATGATAAGTGAGCTGTTGGGATGTTGTGAGGAGGACAGAGTCCTCATAACCCCTCCCCACAGATGCATGCTGGGAAAAGCTGGGAATTGCAAGGCTAGGTGGGACAAGTGGCTGGTGTGACGGTCCCTCCCATTTGTGTGTTGTAGATGGAGCTGCTAAAGAGATTGCCATTGCACCGTACTTTCCTGGCTGTCATCCTGAACCTGCTGGCTCTCGCCCTCTCCACCACTGCCTTGCTTGGCAGCTACTGGTGCACCGGGACCCAGAAAGTGCCCAAACCTTTGTGTGGGAAGAGCAAAGCCACCCAGTGCATCGGTGTCCCCATGCCATCTGATGCAGATACGAGCAATGTTTCATCTGAGGATGTGGTGCACTACAGCTGGGAGACTGGAGATGACCGTTTTGCCTTCAGATACTTCCACACAGGGATGTGGCTTTCCTGTGAAGAGAACATGGAAGGGCCAGGTAGTGTCTTGCTCAGGCAACCACAACTTATTCCCTTGTATTTATTCCACAGGAGTTTGAAACTGAGAGGTGGGAGGCTGACAACACTTGGGAGAAAAGTCTTCTTCATTTTCCTAGATGGCATCAGCCCTGTGCACTGCTGTGCTTGATATATTTCTGTCCTTCACTGGAATGTTCATAGAGTGGGGAAAGGGAGAATGGTTGTCTCTAGTGTGCCCTTCAGTCTGGAACAGAGGCTGTGGAGTGCAAATGGTGGTGGTGATGGCAGTGACTTTGTGATGGCATTGTCCATCCTGATGGGAACTTCAGTGACCCTTCTTTCCCTTTCCCCATGTTTCCATTCCTACACATAGCTTACTTCATGCTGTCCAGGGTAAATTTGTGCATGTCCTCTCAAAAATTTAAGTACAGTGATTTTATGCAGAGTTGTCAATTTTTAGCTACCACCGTGAGGACTGCATTAGTTGGTGTTGTCCTTAAACCACCAAACAGAGAGGTTTTGTTTTATTAAAGAGAGACTGGGCTTTTCTTAAAATAAAAAAAAAAGAGAGAAAGAGAATTACTACTACAGAGAAAACCTGGAGGATTTGAACCCAGAGAAACTGAAGCTAGGAGGCAAATTGACCTGAGGATTAGAGCAGCAATATTCTCATTGTTTTTAGATGTTCTTGTGATGTTGTGACAGGTTTCATTTGTCATTTTTCACCACCTGGGACTGGCACTGTAAATCCTGAAGTGCCAAGGACTGGTTGTGCAACCTGTACGAGAACCCTTTAATGCCTCCTTTCACCCTTGACTTGTTCCTGCCCAGATCTGCTGAAGTCCTTCTGCTGGAACCTGTGCTACACCCTTACAGGTGGATGCTCTGCAGCGCACAGATGCTCTTTACGGCCTGGCACACACATCAAGGATTGGAACTGACCCAGAAGGTGGCCAATGGAGAGATACGCATCTAAGGATACAGTGATGAAAGTCACTTTCATCAGGCCCGTTCCCCTGAGCCCACTGCCTTCCCTTCAGCTCTCCCCAAGGACAAATGTCTCATCTTCTTTAAGCAAGCCACAGTTCCAGTAGAACATTTCTAATTTTCTTATCTGTTGCTGTCAGAGTTTGAAAATAAATAACTGGTGAATAAAAGCAGACAGAAGCGGGGGTGTGCAGAAGGGAATGTGCTTTAAACTCTCATGTCCTAACGGGCAGGCTGCTAATTGTTGTGAGCGTTTCCAGACAGGCTGCAGAAGGAGATGTGTTTATTTGGGACTGGTTTGGGTGTTTGGGTTGGGGTGTGTTTCCATGGTGCTTGTGGGAATGGAAGTACATCCCTTGACTGATTTCTCTAAAAGACTTATCTGGCCACTGGGCAGTCCTGGGATAACCCCAATGCCTGAAGGAACACAGAGAGCATGTTACATCTGGATCACAGCAGAGCATGGGGTGGAGCATGGGGTAGAGCACAGTCTGTCTCAGTCTCCTGCTTCCTGTAAATCAAGTACAACCCACCCACTATGGCGTATCTTTGAAGCAAGTGCATAGACAACGACAACAACATAAAAGGGGCTACTAAGAACAAAAGGAGTTTGAGCCGAGCTGCAGAAAGGATTTCATTATTGAGGCTAATCTCAGGATCAGTTTAGATGAGCCATTACTGAATATCCTCATTAAAGTTCTAGGTGAAGTAGCAAACTGCAAGTTAATGAGAACTGCAGATGGCACTAAACTGGGTAGCATCCTGAGAACTGTGGATGACAGAAGTAACACAGGAGATTTGGAAAGATTAGAACTGGGGATAGAAATTAGGAAAATGGGATTCTTACATGAAGCGGAAATGTCTGGGAGAAAATATTGTGCCAAGTAGAGGACAGGACCCCCAAATGCAGTAATGCAGTATGCAGGAAGAGAAACTTACAGATAATAATGATGGACCCTCAGGTGAGACAGTAGTTTGTGCCTGGCCAACATAAAAACCAAAGCAAATATGAACACAATTTGTCAAAATAGCATGCCTAATATGTGAGGACAGAGGATCATATTTCTGTATGATCTCTGCCACAGAAGAGGGACTTATATCTCTGTCATGAAGTATTTTATGTGGGAAGCTTGGGTTTTGTTTTTGTTTTTTTTCTTTGTTCTTTGAGAAGCGGTGCTAGAACTGCTCTTCTGAGGTTGGGGTGAGTGGGAATTCACATCCTCAGCAGAAGTGGTGGGTCTGCAATCTGTTACAAGCTACACTCCTAATAGGCCTGACCATCAGTAATGTTGTCAATGAATAGCAACAAATTTTTATATTCAGCAGAGGCTCATAAGGTTTACGAATTGCTCAAGGTTTTTTCTGGAAAGGCCATTTCTAGTTTTCCAGGCAGACTTTGCCTTTCCCTACTTTGCCCCAGTGAAAATCTGGAAAGATAGTCAGAAAAAGACCAGAGGTGAGAATATCTGATGGGTGGACTCAGGGATGACTGGATCTATGCACTGAAAAGGAAGTGAGATGAAGATATTTTTTTTTCCCTTATGTGCCCTTCATTGTTTTGTAAACTAATAGCTTTGATTTTGTGTTTCAGAAGAGAAATGCCGCAGCTTTATTGAGCTTTCACCACCAGCAGAGAGAGGTAAGAGCAAATTCCCATATCTCACTGTAGCTGCCCAGTGTGCCTACTTGAGACAGGGGACCTGCAACATTTTGCCTGTGTGGGGACAGCAGGTTCCCAAAGAGCCAGGCATGAAATCCTGGCCTCATGGTTGCTAAAAGAGCAAAGATTTTGACCCAGATATCTGCCATTTGTGAAATCAGTGCTGGAAACCTCAGACCCCCTCTCATATGAAGTGGGATTTTTCTCATCTAGTAAGTTTCCCAGTCGGAGCTTGTCATTTTGCTGTAGTCAGGGGGAAGAGGTGGATGCTACCTGAGGGCAGTCCCTCCCACATGTTAACTCAGTGCTTCCGTTTGGGTGAAGTCTAGTGTGGTGAGTCTAGAAGCTGAATCACCTCTTTGTGGTAAGTGAACAGGACACCTGAAAGTTACCCTTTTAGGGTAAAGTCCTTGCCTCATCAAATACAAAACATCATTTGGGTAGGAGAGATCATCCCTCCTGTCACTGTCACATGATTCAAATTAACCTCAGTATACTTCAATGTATGTGTACATATGCTATGGAGATGTTAATGAAAGCTTTTCAACTGGTGTGGGCTTGTTAACTATTCCCTGAGATGGAGGATGAAGGCAAGTCATTTCAGAGGATGTTTGTATGTGAAGGGAAAGGTCTGGGGTGCAGAGCCAGTGTCAGCGTTCAAGTCATGAGAGCAAGGGCTGGAACAAATGCTGAGGAATTGTAACAATATAGTATCATCATCATTTCACGTAGTATCATAAGATGACCAGTGCAGCTACCATTGTATAGCTGAGTCAGCACTGGAGAAGGTGGTGTGACTGCCGATTGTGGGCTGGGCTTGGCTGGCCAAGCTGGGTGTGTACAGAGCAGCTCCACAAATCATAGGCAACATTACAAGACCAAATTACAAAGCATCTGTGGAGAGCCTGGCCTCACAACGAAAGGCCAGATGCAGAGGTCTCTGTGCATGTGTGGTGCCTGCAACCTCCAGAATACTTTTGGCAGTCTGACCTCTAATGAAATATTCTCCCTGATGGTGCTGCAGCAAGCAAGCCAGCTCCTTTAAACAGGGAATGCAGCTCATCAATTTCTGCTAAAGAGCTGGGTGACTCTATGGCACTAATGATGTTGAGTATTCAAGTCAGTGCCACATTAATGAGGGTTTTCTTCACACTCCTTTTCCCCAGCTGAATGTCTCCTCTACAGCCATTAATAGTTGCTAACAGTAGTGTTCACAGTGCTGCTTCATTTGTCAGATTAATGTTTCTTCCTCAGTGAATCCTGTGCTTTTCCACAGCCCTACATTACAGAATGCCTTTTGTCATTCTCCTCCAAGTTCTACTGCACAGCTGTAGAACTGAGCTCAGCTGTGTACTGTGGTATCACTTAAATCCCACTCAAAATCCCAGCATGAAAGTACCTGCACTCTGTTCAAGAAGCAGGGTGAGTGGTGAATGTTACTGCCCTAGCTGGCTATCGACCCCAAAGAATGTTTCATTTTAATTGGGGATTTGGCTTGCAAGGGGTTTCCTGAATTCCAGAGGCAAGGTCCTGACAAAGCTGTGGATGCACCATATAGTTCTTAACTAGTTGAGTCCCAGGTTAAAAATTGTTTGCTTACATTGCTGTGATTAGAGCTCAGATGTGTTCGTGGCCAATCTATGATCACTAGGTTTTATGCTAATACTCAACAGCTTCCCCTGTCTTTTCCCCCCTGTTTTCTGTTTATCAATAATGTTGACTTGTTCACAGATGGCATTTTAGTTCTTTTCAGCTTTGCCATGCTAGACTAGCCAAGCCATCTTCTGTGATAGACACTGTCCCATTCAGCACTCTGAGTTCTCACTCACAGGTTGAAGCAATTGCTTTTGGGTCTTTGTTGTTTGTCTTTGTTCCCTTCTTTCCAAAGTACATCCTTTAAGGATTGGGTTGGAAAAGGGGGTACTTTCCCTTGAACATGGTTTCATCCTGTATTCCTGGCAGGAATCCTGTGGCTGTCGCTGGGATCAGAGATGCTGTACATCAGCTTGCTGCTCATCAGCTTCATCCTCCTGACAGTGGAAATGCTGCATACTGGCAATCCTGTCTGTGGGATGAAGCTCAATGCCTTTGCTGCTGTCTCCTCGGTGCTGTCAGGTAAGCTTATTACTGTAGGCTTGGAATCACAAAAGCAGGAGAGCCTCCTCTTCCACACAAGGCTGAAGTATGCTGCTCTGGCTCCTGCTGTAACTTATTTGCTTTGTCTTTTGTGTCTAGGTCTCCTTGGGATGGTGGCCCACATGATGTACAGTCAAGTCTTCCAGGCAACTGTTAATCTGGGACCAGAGGACTGGAGACCGCACTCATGGGACTATGGCTGGGCGTTCTAGTATGTGAGCTCTGAAGCCATCTTGACCTCCCCAGCCTTCTGGGCTTCAGCCATGCCACTGCTTCCTCCTCCTTTCTTGACCTTCTGTGTTTCCAAAGACATGGTTCTCCTACTATTAATCTCTTGTCTTTGCCTTATCCCCTGTTTTAATAAGCAGGTGCTGAGTTACTTAAATGAGTAGCTACCAAAGGACTGGCAAAACAATGGGGTCACACCCAAACAATTTCCTTCGACCCTGCTGACTAATCAGGTTTGCCCCTCTGCTGGTTTGTCCTGTTTGGTCTCAGCTCTTCCCTGTGTGCAGAGGGCAGTGTCACACTTGTCATGATGCTCTTAAACATGCCTTGTTTTTCTGCAGTTTTAGTAAGTTGCATGCTGGTTTGGCATCTTCACTAAGCAATGTCCAAAGGGCCTATTCCTGCAACACCAAATCTAGACATATGCTTAAAGATGTGGACACAGCCCAGCCCACAACCAGCAGTCACACCATCTTCTCCAGTGCTGGCCCAGCTGTACAATGGCAACTGCACTGGAGGCCAAGGTCATCTTAAGATGATACTACATGCAGGAAGGAGCGAAAGGGGGTGATAGACCACGGTGTCATTTATGAGCCAGGAAGAGCAGCTGCAAAAAGCAGGTGGCTCAGGGTGCCTTTCTCTAAAGGATAAAGTAGCCAACAACAGCTGGTATGACATATCTGACTTGATAAACAGTTGGACGAGCCTTCCAAGTGTCCATAGAAAGTGCAGGTTTGATTTGCAATGCTGTACTGATGATGACCACACTGATTCTTAAGACTTAAACACTCCAGTGCCATGTGCCACCCATGGACATCAAATGTCAGCATGGCAATCTGGTTACACAAGTAGAAAAGCCTCATGTGGAGGAAGACACTGAGCAGCCCTGTAATACAGAACTTGCTTCCAAGCTGTGCTGTCCTGCTCTGACCAATTACAGATGTTCCTGCTGCCCTTCTCCTCTGCCCTGTATCCCTCCCTTCCCTATGACGGGGATGACCAGTATTTAACCCACTGAACTAATATGGATCTTGTGGTGGGATAACCCCAAGAACTGTAATGCTATGAGCCTTAGTCATTCTAATTCATGTCCATGCCCAGCAGCTTCTGCCTTGAAGATCAGAGTGTGTCACTGTTCAATTCCTTACCCTACCTGGCTTCTTACAGCATGTGCTTCTTTTGTGTCTCTCTGGTAGCATGGCCTGGGCCTCCTTTACCTGCTGCATGGCCTCTGCTGTCACCACTCTCAATACCTACACCAAGACGATACTGGAGTTCAAAAGGAACCACATCAAGGGCTACGATGGGAGCTTCAAGGATCAGCCTCAGCACCACCAGTGCTTCCTACAGCAAATAAGCAGCTACTATGAGCCCAGAGGCAAGGCCTTCCTTTCAGTCTCTGAGGGAGTTGACTTCTACACTGATCTGCAGCAGAAAATGCTACAGCGGGAACCAGAGCTGGAGCTGGATGAAGTCTTGGGCCAGACAATCGGGGAGGATCGTTGTTAGGGATGATGAGTGTACAGGGACAGAGCAGTGGGGTTTGGGAGGCACAAGAGCTCTGCAACGAACACTGGCACCACTGTTAGCAAGCTCTTGGGGGACTCTTCCTTCTTCTACAGTTCAGGGATTGAGAAGAGAAGGTGGGCACTGGGTCAGGGCAACCTACAGTGCTAACAGTAGCAGGCTGAGGGTCCTCCCTGATCACAGTTTTACGGCTGTCCTCTGCTGAGAAGGGTGAAACTGGAGGGACATGTTGGTGCCAGCTGTCTCAAGTACTTTCAGGCAGAGTTGAGGCAAATATCCTAACCCCAGTACTGCACTTGGGAATAGACGGTCAGCACCATCCAGATGGCAAATTGCACTGCTGGACCTCTTTGAGTGGGTCACACTGACCCCAGTTCAGTGCTATGGTGAAGGGCATCAGTGTTCATATTGATTAGTTGTCATCCTCTCTGAACACCCTATTTATTCTTAATTTCCAGGCCCAGATTCCTCTTCTCCCTGCCCCCAGATTAAAAGTCCTGCTGCAGTAGGAATGGGGGTTAGCTTTCAGACATCTCTCTCCTCCACTTTCCTATCCGTAATGACTCCCACATGCTCCCCTCTTGCTTTTTCCCCAGAAATCTCTCATTCTGAGGTACTTTACTGTCTGCCTCTTTTTACTGTTTCTCCACAACCTTTAAGAATCTTTGGCTGTACTTTTGTTTTTTTCTTTGCTTCTATTCATCTGTTTCTTCTTCCCTATCATAAAAATATTGCAAGCAACCCCCAAATCAAAACCCAAAGTAAACTCATAATCTCTCAAAGGCGAAACACTGGTTCACATGATACATGATGCTGTACACAGTATTTATTTGCTCCACTGCAGTTCACAGTTCAAATACATTTTCCCAACAATATACAGACAGACTCTTTATTCACGGGGGGGGGGAGGTGAATTCACATTAAGGAGGAGCTAATGCCACTGCACTGGAATAACAGTTCTCTCAGGAAGAACCTCAGAAGAATAACTACTTAGGTAACAGCCACTTCACCTTTCCCAGCAAGGTGGTGGCTGGACAGGAGGGAAGAGGCACTCCTGTTTAATCCCTCTTATGTTACTGGTCCTCACACTTTCAGTCCTATTATGCAGCTGTATTAACTGACTGTGTATTATAAACACTAAACCCTGTCTGAAGGAAAATGCCAGGCCTAGGGCAGTTGCTACAATTGTGCTAAATATATACAAAGCTATTTACACAAAAATACCATGAAACATATACAAACTGTTCACAGGCTCTGACATTAAGAGAGCAGGGCCCAAGGACCAGCCTTGGGGCTTGCAGCTAATCTTGAAGGGCTATCCTGGAAGCTTTATATGGAGATGCAGAGATAATAAAGAGAGAGGGTGATACAGCAAGGAGAGATGGCAAGAGCCCAGGAGAGCAAACCAATGGTAGATGTGCCATCTGGAAAGAGGGTCAATCTGCCATAACCTCACCACTCACAGGGAAGTGCAGGGAGGCTAGAAGGGCACATGCCAGCAGGAGGACAGAAGAGTCTTTGCAATCCTCATCTCAGCCTAGCTCTGCCTAATGTCAAGGGTCAGACCTGGAAAGGCATACTGGGAAAACAGTCCCTACATTGTTGCCCTGAACTGTGGGGAACTGTTGGGGCACCAAAGTGGTTCCTGTTTATACAGTCATTTCTATCACAAGAAAATTTGTACAGGTGCTCTGTAACTGCAACACAGGAGACTGATGACACATTCTGGGGCACAGTTCAAAACACTAAACACACTGCGAGCAAACGTCTCCCAGGGGTAGCCTGTTTCTCCTGGAGCTGCATGCAGGGCTGGGCTGGCAAGGGAATGGCAAAACTGAGCTCAGAATAGGGTTAAAATGCACAGAAAATCTTTCCGGTTCTGTCTCTGTCTGAGCCTGTAAACCCTGAAGCAGTGGCGTAAGAATCAGCTTTTCTGTGACTAGATTGAGTGACCTTTACAGTGACAGTTGGGATCTGCTGGGAATCTATGCCAAAAGGGCTGTGATACATTTGCAAAGGGAAACTCAGCCCATTGGACTGCAGCGTGATATTACAGTGACACTTGGGGTTCATACAAAGCTCAGGGATGGATAGAAATAAGATGTGAATCTTGCACTTCGACATGCACCTGTCCTGAACTTGGAATTGGGACAGAAATACACAAGTGCAAGGGCTGGCAAATGCTGTGGAGACCATCTTTCTCTGGTAATTCAGCTAGAGAGCTAGTTTGTGGGTGAGTTTGGGGACAGCATGAAGAAGAGGGCTGAGAGCACAGGAGAGGCTGTAGACAAGACTAACCCTGCAGGAGCCAGACAGAGGCTTCACTCTAAAAATACAAATATTAAAGCAGGTAGTGTGCTTTAGCCACACCATTTGCCTTGACTCATCATGGCCCACTTTAGGCCTACAGCTTGTTTGACTGCCTGGGAATACTGTTTGGACATAAAAAGGTGTGTCCTAAATCTCATTCATAAATTAAACATACAAAAAATATACATATATGGTATAAATTAACACATATATATATAAAGCCTGGTTTTATATATATATGTATATAAATTCTAAATTCACATTTCTGTGCTACCTGGAAGGAAGCATGCAAGAACAGCATATGGAGGGGGAGTAGCTGAACAAGGTTCCTCTGGTACATGACAGGTCTGCCTAGGACAAACCTGTCTCCACCAGCATTCCCCAGATAGCTGAAGAAAGGGGAAGTGCTTTTAGCCCCCATTCCTTCTACACAGCAATTTTCCTGAAGATCCACAGAGCAGCTTCCTGTATTCCCCATACAGGCCACAGGTCCAACCAAAATCGGAGGAACCACCAGGCTAGAGCTGGAGAAGGAAAGGCAAATAAACATTAAAGCCAAAACCTATTACCATCTCTTTGCATCCCAAAGAGCGCTTTAACTGTGTCTGTTCTCAGGGAAGAGATCAGATGTTTTCAAGGGCCTGGATTTCATTGTGCAGGGATTCCTGCACAATCTCACCTTCTGAGGAAAGTCAACAAATTTCATCCGGGCAAGAAATCGCCTCACTTCTCCACGGCTGATTTTTGGAGTGGTGGTGTCTTTTAACCACACCATTCGACCTTGACTCATCATGGCCCACTTCAGGCCCAGCTTGCTGACTGAGAGAAATCCTGGCTGTTTCTCAGAGGTTGCAGTTGTTGTCACAGTGATGTGAAATGCATCCTTCTGGAGATCGTTAATTCCAACTGGTCCATCAGAAAAGGGCGAGAAAATAGTGGTGAAGAGTAAATTATTACATTTCTTCCAAAAGAAATCTTACAGCCTTTAGTCAGTAAAAATGTCCATTGGACTGAGGGTATGTTCAGTTTGACTTTACAATTCCACGTACCATAGTTGATAAGGGAAAATAATTTTAAGTTAAATTTTTTTCCATGGAAAGAAACTGAAATTTAGATCAGAAATGGAAGGGACTGGTTCCAGGTTATGGTTTTGGGCTTGACATAGGAGATGCACATATTTCAAGAATGCAATTCACTCTCAGAGCTTTCCTTCCCACACCTGTTAGAAGCTATTGTTTTCCTCTATAGAAGGGGAAATCCGTAAAGCACAGGCAAGTCAGTTCACTCCACTCACTGTAGAATGATCTGTACAGACCTCAGAAATCCCAGTTTCTAAAAAATCCCTCTAAAAATTATATTCTATTTGTTCTTGACTGAACTGTGGTTTTGATACAAACCCGATTAAATGTTATCACTATGTGGCAGCTTTTCCATGCTTCCTGGACTACTGGTCCCAGTGTTGGATGAACTCCTCTTTTATCCCACACTGCCCTGCACAAGAGTCTGGCTATTGGTCGAACTGCTTTAGAAAGAGCAAGTCAATCCAACAGGGACTGTACAGTCCTGTATAGATGTTAAATCCATATCTACTTTTCCCTAAAAACACAAGTTTAAATATTCTGAATTCTCCCTTACAAAAAAAAAGATGAAGAAGCAGCATGGCTGATATCCCAAAGAGATGGCCAACAAAGTGTATCTGAGATGACAAAGTTTCATAGTGATTTTTCATACGCTGCATTACATCATAAATAGCTCCATGGAAAGCAAGGCAACTTCTCTGGTGTAAAACATGCATGAAATCAAACTTGGACCTTTCCTTGCTTAAACATGTGCAAGAAACTTTGTGGGTCTTTTATTTCCAAAATAGGGGTTGGACAGGACACTCCTTCAGGAGGATGGTGGATCTTATTTCCCATTGTTGGCCTATGTGCTACCTTTAGAGGCACAACTACATCCCACTGTTTCTCTAGAGGCACAACTACATCCCACTGTTTCTCACAGCTACTTCTCTCTCCATAGTTCTTTTAGCCTACGTAGTTTCTCTTCCATTTGTACCCACCTGCTGAAGCAATGACTTTGTCTGTTGCATTGGTGAGGTCCAAAAGGACTGTAGGAAAAACAGGATGGAGGAGATAGAGGTGGTGCAGCCCTGGGCGCTCAGGTCTGGGACCAGGTTGCTGTTAGATCGAAAGACAGACAAAAACATAACAACTGGCTAGCAAAGAGGACTCTAGCATTGCCAAAACATTAAGTTTTCTGACACTGTGCTGTCTTTCATGGATCAGAGAATCAAAAACTCTTGGTAAGACTGAAATCTGGCTCTCTCATATCCAGCTTGATGGGCAGAGCTAGTCTGGAAGTTTGAGTCTCCATGCTGAATTCTGTGTCTGCATGCAGAGAAGTGGTCTGGGACTGGAAACAAATCTGCAGTTACAACACCTCAGTGTTGCATAAAAGAATGAAATTCATACAGAAATTTTTGGGTTTGTGGATGTGAAATTTCTGTTGATAAAGCTCTATGGTGAAGAATTTGCGCACAAAAACTCCTGTGTTTAGGTTCACGTCAAAGTAAGAGATGTCCCTGACAGCTTTCTTATACATTAGATTTAAAATTCAGTGATAACAGGAATAAAAAACAGAGACTGCATGCACTTCACAGAGAAACTTCAAAGTGAGGAAAGGATGCTTGCTCACCAATCTTTGTAACACAGGCTGTTTTTCATCAGCCCAGAAGAGAAAAACAGACTTCTTGTCCAAAGTCATGACTGAGAGTGCATCAAGTTGTTGCCTCTGCCACGGGAGTTCCTGGTTCCAAAGAGGGAGGCCGGATTTGCCATCTACCACCACCACCTCAAGGCAGGGAAGAGATCGAGCATTAATGGGGTGTCCAGGTGTGGGTATATATGTGTGCCCTTGCAGTGGCATGGTCGGTGCTGTTCCCTTTCATGCCTGTGGCCACACAGTGATGACTGTCAGCTACAGAAATGGGAACAGCGAGGAGCAAAGAATGCTTGTCTCTTTCTACCCAACCTCCCCCACTCCTATGCTACCCCTGGCCTCCTTGCCTTCACCTGTTTTACCTTTTTGTTCCCATCTCCAGTCTGTGCTTGCAGCATGAAGTCCAGAGTTTGGTCAGCACTGAAGTAACCTGGTACAGGTTGGCTGTAAATTTGGAAAAAGAAACACTAAGCCCCATGGTAGGAAAAAAGGCATATCAGATGGAGGCAGAACAGCTGCTTCCATCCTCCCTTCTGTCTCTTAAAATGGTAGAATTTGTCATGCTAAAGAAGATCTTTTATCCACTCAGAGCTGTTCTGACTGTCAGGAACCGCTTGTTGATGGATCAGAAAAGCAAAAAATGGTCAAGCAGACCATAGTGCTTGTT